ATTTGTGGTCACTAAACACAAATTTGACGTTTACTCTAATTTAGAAGGCTTCAGGTCATCCGTAACCTCAAAAAACTATTATAAAAGCAGTTATTCGCACGCTAGCATGGATAGATAGTAAGAATAATCTTAAAACAGATTGTACTGATGTAATTAAGGTCACTAAACACAAGTATAATGTTTATTTTCAGTTAGGACTATTCAAGTAGTCCCTAACCTCGAAAAACCACTCGAAAAAGCAGTTATTCGCACGTTTGCATCGTTAAACTGCAAAAGTGATCTTAGAACAGCTACTGCTAACGTAATTCTGATCGCTGAACACGAATCTGACTTTTATTTTTACTTGCCATGTTTCAGGTCATTCCTTACCTTGAAAAACCTCTCAAAGAATAAGTTATTCGCACGTTAGCATTGATAGATCGTACCCCAAGTTATATAAAGTCTTATTTATTAGCAATTTTTTCATCAGAGCCTAAGGTTATTCTTTGGCTAAAGGCCGTTTATCACAGTTAGCGGGGTGAAAGTTTAGAGAGATAAGAGGAAGAGCGCAAATATATGCAGCAATGCTGGCTTGTTTTTCTCGTATAAATGTTCTTACATACACACTTTTACACATACTCTACGCCTACCTTGTAGTATTTTTAAAAAAGCTTAGTTATAAATCTACTTTAAAATTTAATTGCTACATCCAAAAGTCATATTTCAAATTTAAAACACTGTCTGATCTGTACAGACCGTCTCAATGAAATCTCGCGTGATTCTTTTATAATGCTACATGTGAAACTAAGATATTTCAGAAGAAAGCATCTAGGAAAACATGTTTAAAAAGTTATATTTCAACGATCTGCAATATTTGTTGTGTATTTCTTATGCTATTTCCTCTATACGTTTAATGTTAGAATAGAATCTGTCAAAAAAACCTATGTGCTTTCTGAAAGCACAATAACTGGCATGTAGTACTACTCTATTAAAAAAAGGGCACTACTGGATGGTTTTCCTAAGCCTTTTCAATACAATTATATTGTAGATATTAAATAGGGACTATTTTTTAAGTGTGTAAGTGTATGTGACAGATGTGAGCGTTGTGAGAATAATATTATTGACTTAGATAGTAGAAAGTTGTCTTAAAAGCATCGGAAGGTTTGACGAGAGAGCACAGTCTTGTACTGACCAACCTGCATATCGCTTATATTGTACTTTGCTGTAAAATATTGTTCACAATCATTTCAATCATTTAATTTTTTAAATATTTTCTTAAATTATACGTAATCAAGATAGGTATACTTATTCCAGTCCAACGATAATTGCTGATGAAAGGTGTATTTGCATTGATTATTATTTTTATCTGCGGTATGATGCTATAGAAGTAAGACTATATATTTGAGTGCCTGAGCACCCACTGTCCAATGATTTTTGTTGGTAGTTATTAGGAGGTTGTATTAAATAGAACGATAATTGCGCAGTAGGTGCTGGCCGAGCAGACAGATTGGAATGTCAACAGGTTCTGGTACTTCAATATCGGACTCATGTACCACAAACACTCGACAAATTCGCTGAGGCTGCGCTGTGCTATGCATTTATTTAGTTGTTGTTCAGAAAAATATCACTTACGAAAGGGTAGCTTAATTGAACAATGTGGGCCTTAGACTGGAAACTTGCAAGATTAATTGACGATGGAGAACAAGGTATTCTAGAATGCAATTTTTGAATGTAAGTTTGTTTTCGATGGAACTAATCATCGAGAGCATGGGGTGTTATGCTTAACGGAAAATGCCATATATATATGATAGTAACTCTTTAAAAAACAAATTATAATTGTAATTCTTTAACAGATTTAAACCTTAGATAAAATTATGTTACAGTAAAATTTGGTATATTACTTCATTTTTGGCGATTTTTGGGAATTCAAAAAAAACTTTTTCATTATGATATTATCGAGTGCACGTGCAGGGCATTCTGATAATGTAGTTGCATGTAACGTGCTATTTTTGAGCTGTGTACATGAAGAAATAAGCTTTACAGGAATAATTGCAGATACATTTAACTGCAACAATGCCTTGCTTTGTTCTGTTTTCTTCAAAATAAATTATTTTATAGGATAAAGTTCAAGCCCTTCCTCTCAGTTCATTAGCTTTTATGGTCAGTTCTCTATACACATAAGATAACATGTTACTGTTATTGCATTTTCAATTTAGAGAAAACAACAAACATAAGCTATGTATACATTCGAAGTAATTACGAGCTGTTTTGAAATTTGTAAAATCAATACCAAGACAATCGTAACACTGCTACGTAAATAGACAGTTAATGTAGTGAACAATTTACTTTAGTAGAAGTATTGATTACGAAAGATAAAGATGAAAGAGTAAGGCAGCTTGTATTGTATAATATACAATGACCTGCACTGAAAAAAGGTGTAAAAGCTAGGCATCATAGTTTATAAATATCTGCAGCGTGACAGTGATAGAAAACTGAAAGTTTTACCTGATTCAAAAATTTTCCATCATGCCATAAAAAGTTATAACTTTCAAGGCCATATGGTTTCTCGTGTGGAAAAGTAGCATTGCCACATGCTTCAGCTATCTAGTTAAAACCCCGTAATCATAAAGCAGTTATATAGTATGTGTCTTTGAAGTTATTGTAAGTGACAGTGCTAAAGGGAAATACGATTTCTTTGACGTGACACATATTAAAGCAGTACCATACTAACACAATTTTGCATAACTTTTTTTTTGGTGTTGTTAATTTACTGTTGTGTAAGATCACATTTATACTAAATCAAGAAAAAAAAGATCAATTTTTTTTATTTACAAGGTTAGAGAAATTAATAAAGGAACTAGTCTTGTTTTGTACAAAAAATATCTACCTGAATACTGTAAAAATATTACAAGTATTAGTGTAGGCATTAATATCATGTATAAAAACAAAACAAAAAAACAGTGACTAGTGGGTGCTTAGGTACCCAAGAATAAAATGAAACTTTGATAAAATTATATGGCAAACAATATTGGTATAAAAATACCTTTCATGAAACATTCTTCTTTACAAAGGTGGTGTCATTATCGTGGGAATACGGATACCTCAGTTAATAGGGTATAGTTGTAGTTATTATTTTAACATTAAATAAACTAACAATTACAAGCAATATATAACAGTGCAACACAAGGAAAATAATATACAGTTTGGCCAGTACAGTACTGTGGGCTTTCATTAGATCTTCCGATGACTTAAAACCAACTTTCTTCTGCCTACGCTAATTACATCTCTAGCGTGCTCTGACATTTGTAAAGTACGCCTCTTCACTTATTTCTAGTCCATATTGAGCATACGAAATATAATTTTATCTAAAAAACTAAGATAAACCATTCCACTACACCACTGTTTCTAATGGGAAAGTGTAACAAGCCAGTGAATTTTCCTTCAAGACGTTTATCATACTCACGTTTTTTGCATAGGTTAAGTTTGTATAAAATATGTATCCAAAATAGCTTAAAATATATCTTTAAAAATTGCAGATTGTTTAACAGTACCCTTTTATATCCGTTTAATTCTTCGAAATTGCAATTAAACATGTAATCTTACGGAAAAACCACGTCAAGTTGCATTTATATAATCAGTAGAAATCTTTTAAGTCTTTTGGTATGAAACATTACCTTAAGATTAACCTTTTCAATTTTTAAAGAGATCTATGAGTTGGTTTTTAAATAAATTTAAAAAGAGAAAATCAAGTAGGTGCAAAAGCGTGTATGTAAGTACATCTACATGAGAAAAATAACTGCCATCGTTACTGCATATACTTGCGCTCCTGTCACCTCTCTAAACTTTTTCCATAGTAACAATGAGACGAACGTCCAAATGTCAAAAAATCACCTCAATAACAAATGAAAAAATTGTGAAAAAATAAATCACCATAGAAATTAATTATCGTATTTATAAGGTAAAAAAAGGTTTTTTTGAATTTGGAAAAGATTCAAAAAATAATTATAAAAAGAATTATTTAATTTTTTTTAAAAGTACCATAGTAATAAGTAGCTGAATATTTAGTAATGCATGAAAGAGATATTCTGCTAAAATGTACTAATTTCAGAGTTTTCGAGAAAAATATTTAACTAAAAAAAGGAAAGTAAGTGGGTAAGGACCTCAGCTATTGTGCAAGTGATCACCGGTACAAATCTATTTCTGTTACCTATTACCTAAAATTCAAAAGATTTAAAATGTGTACTGTCCTGTGGTGGCGTCAGGTGATGTCGTTCGGAGGGGATCGGTGTATGACGAAACGGTACGTCAAGAATTCGGGTCGGAGGGGAAGTAACGTGCAAAATCCACTTCTGTCACACTTTTTCTCAGGGTCTAACATCTGCAATCGTTGATTTACTCTCACAGATAACGCACCTATAGAAGTGCCACTTTAACGCTCATGTCGTATCAGTCATAGCTATAGACATTATGAGACCTTATCTTTTCGAAACACTCTAATTCCATTAATAATAACTTTATGAGGGCAAAAAACAAGTGTTAACAAATATTAATTGATAAAAAAAATTTTGTAATAAGCAAGCTTTGGTATACTTGAGTTTTTACTTTTTATAAACTAAAAAAAATGTTAATAAGAACCTTTTGTTTAATAAAGTAATAATGGAAATAGTTCTGAAGAGTATGGCTTATAAATGTGACACAAAAGCTTTGGTGTACCTGAGTTTCCACTTTTTATAAAATAAAAATAAAATGGAAATAAGAACCTTTTGTTTTAAGAAGTATTAATGAATATGGCTCTAAAGACAATGGCTTATAAATATTACATTGATGATTTTACATGAACACAGTTAAATAGCTTAAGTCTTTTTTATTAAAAATTAATAATGTTGTCAGTTTAGTAATACATTCACGAAAACAGTACAAAAATTGTTTTTGTATTTTTATATTGATATCCTTTTTTTCAAAAAATAGTTTGATGTTTTTTAACAGGTTAACTATAAATTTTAAAAAACTTCACATTCTAGGTTCACATAGAAATTCGATTCGAAAGAGGTGAGCATGGTGATGGTGATCCATTCGATGGACCAGGAGGTACTCTTGCGCATGCATACTTTCCTGTTTATGGAGGTGATGCTCATTTTGATGACTCAGAAAACTGGTCAATTAATAGCTTTCGTGGTACGAATCTATTCCAAGTAGCTGCACATGAATTTGGTCACTCTCTTGGTCTGAGCCACAGTGATGTAAGATCTTCTTTAATGGCTCCATTTTATAGAGGTTATAACCCTGATTTTATACTAGACAGTGATGACATAAATGGAATTCAAGTAAATATTTCTAGTTTGGTATCTATGATTTTTGTGAAACACATATCAAGATTAAATTTCCTTTCTTAGGCACTTTATGGATTAAGAAAAGATTACGTTAGTACGGAATCAAGCTTTCATCAACTATCAACAACTGTTTCATATTCAAGTGAAGAAGATTTACTGATTTGTATTGACTCTAGAATTGATACACTTTTTAACTCAGCTGAAGGATATACTTACGTTTTTAAAGGTAAAAGATATAATATTAAACATTCTTTTAATATTATTTTTAATGACATGACTAATGTAAAACCTGATAAGAAATGATCCTAATCTTTATCGCTAAGAGCAAAATTAGTAAACTATTTTCCACCGACAAGTGATAAGCCACAGTACTTCAGTACAAGCTTTCGTCCTTTGGGTAAATAGGAATAATTATTTGGAAGATAATGTCGTGGAAGGTATTAGTAGAACCCTTAATTGTGTAAGAGTGATAGATTGGTGGATGTATGAAGTTCAAGTCTGATTTTTTTTTGAGCATAGGAAGATAATCTCCTTATTCTGGTACTATACACTTGCTAAGTAGACTTAGTTGGTTTCCTTAGATGTAAGTTATACAGATGTTTTGATTAAGTTGTCTTAGAATAAGCCACTAGTCTTTATTTTTGGCTATTGTAAACTGATTATTCTCTTTCATGATTATCTACTTGTGCAGTGAATTTTGATGATTTATCTTGCAGCTTGTAACACGGTCTGTGAGGATTAAGACGCTGAGTATGGCTACTTCACAATGAATGGGATGAACTGAACTTATCGTGCTAAGAAAATTACAAATAGATTGTTCTTCTTTACGGTTTTGCAGCAAGCCTAGTTTAATTTCGGACACCAATTAGAGAAAAATTCTTACCTATGTGTTTTGCTCCACACTAATACTATTAGCTCCCCTAGGCAATAAGCAAGTTTAATGTGTATTACGTACTTAGAATATTCATGCCTTCAGTGTAAAATAATAAATGTGGGTATTTTTTTCTCTTTTATAATAAGTATTAAGAAGACGGGTTCTATCTGACTTCTGGTCTGATTTCAGCAGGCATAGGGCTCCTAATATTGTAGCCATGGTAGTACTTAATAAAGGAGTAAAATAGATAGACAAGTTAAGAATTGTGCATTGTCTCGTAATCATAGTTTATAGTATTTTATTAGTGTTTGAAATGTTAGTGACCTTTTTTCAGCTAATTCAGTTGTATTACTGTTGTATAGAGATTGTGATTTGAAAGTTTTTCTGTTAGTATCAATGAAATTTAATGCTTTTATGCATGGCTTGAGGAAGGATCTTAAAATCTTATTGAAAAAAATCTTTGGTTAATACTGTGTTGATGGTGGAAATTTAACCACTAATATTAAAGCTAGAATTCAGGTTATAGGATAAATGTTTATAAAAAGGACTTACATAATAATAGCCAGCTACTTGCCTACTGGTCGGTTGCTTCTCCAGAAAAGAGAATATGTCTACATTGCACAATTGTAATTAAGCCATTAATTAAATTATTGATTGTATGTTTGACCAAGGACAAGTCAGGGAGTAAAGATCAATTTTATTAACATATTCTATCAAAAGGTGTACCTTGCAGGCCTTGGCAAGATGTTGCATTTAAAGAAGGTGAAGTTAGGGAGTGAAAATTTTTAGTTAGCAGACAAACGATGCGATGAGCATTTTTATTGATGTGTGGATGTGGCTACTAGAAGAGTATCACCATATAGTACTTCTGTTGTGGGTACCATATAATACCAAAGATCGATGTTCGTTACTAGAAGTAATTCTGCTAAATAAATAAACTTAAGACAAATAACGACAACAATTTGTTAAAAAATTGTAAAAAATGTCATTATAGATAAAGTTTACAGCATAATCTAATATTTATAACCTTATTTATACAAAATTTGTCAACTGTACCAGTGCAAAGTGATAACGGCAAGTTGTGTTTAAAGCATTTCATGACTATAAATATGTATTCGCAATTTACACGCAAACTACAACAAAACCTTATTTCTATTTCTTTGCTTTACAATTCAATTTCTATTGTAACACAAACAACATAAAATTTTGTACACAAATTGTTTGCTACCCAAAGCAAAAGAATATCTTTCTGTTAAAAGCAGATCCTTATTTTTCATGATAAAAATATGACCCTTTGATGTGTCTAGTACTAAAAGTGCTGCACACAACAAAATCTCTGAGAATCTTTAGTACTTTTTTGTCTGTACCAAGCAAGTTCCTAATCTGTTGATATCTATACGAAGAGCCTCTATTATAGATCGTAGAATGTATGAAAAAGTAAAATTAAAGAATGCAAGGAAAGGTATGAAAACCATTATACTATGTATTACTCGTTAGACTAACCATCGTGACTTGCTAGTCATCTAGCCTCAGACAAACATTAGCTCTAATACACATTTTCATAGTGCTAGCAAGATAAGTATGGTATATTAAAGAATCAGCGTTTTATTAATCAAATTCCAGGAATAGTCGATTCCTTAACTAAAGTTTGTAAAACTTCTTTTCGTAATTATGACGTTAAATTAATTAAACTGTATTCCTTTTCCTTTATTATTTAAGCATAGTTACTTTTTGCGTATAAGCGTGTGCAGTTCAATTGCTCCCAGATCTGTATACGTATTTTTTTCATGCCAAGCACTTTAAACGTCTGTTTAAATATATATGATGAATTTATTTTACAGCGTAGTATTTATAAAAATCAAAAAGTTATGACATCGTTAATGGATACACGTTTGAATAATTTAATGTCATACATAATAAGCTTAAGAGATTTAGGAGTTTCGTTTGAATAACTCACTATCTTGCATGGAATTGAAAATAAATGCTGGATTTTCCACACAGTATTTTATTCTTTCTAGCGATATAATATTAGGTTTTAGTGCAAGTGTTAATCATATAAATCTGGGGTAGATCACTACCAAGCCACTCTGATACGTCCAGCCAGCAATTAAAGATCGTAGGATTCTTGTTTTTCTTCCATCTATGAATTTTTCTTTAAAAAATAGTACACTTCATGATCTATAATCAAAAGCAGGTACAACAAATTGATAACTTCCTATGTATTTTGCATGGATTAAGGCATGTCACTCAGCTACCTCCACTATTCAGTGCGTAACTAGCAAGATGTCACTTTTGGTATGTGGTTGTTAGTAAGTTAGGTACCTTAAGAACATTTTTTTATAGTTATGTCTACGAGTAAAATCTCAACCTTGATAAGTTAAGAAAGTTTTGTTTATTATTATTATTATTGTTGTTGTTGTTATAATATTCAAATTGCGAGTGAAATATTTAGCACAAGTACGATTTCTGGACTCCCCAAATTTAAAAGGTGTCTTAAAAGATAATTGAGATCACTGAAAACGAGAAAAATTGTGAAAGAAAATCCTAACATCACTTATTTTTAGATATCGAACTTGAGAGTCAAAAAAATTACTGTCAGTGTTAATAAAATATGAAGATGACTTCTAGCTCATAAGATATTCGAAGATAAGAAAATTACACAAAGATCTATACTTACTTCTCTTTCGAGATATTAAGTTTTGAAATTCAAAATTTAGTTTTAAACATTTTTAATTTTCATATAAAAGTACTAAATAACGTGATATGTTCAATTGACTTAAAAGAAAAAAGTACGATTTTGTCATTTTCAAATCAAAATAAAAAGACCAAAAAGCCTTGCTAGATAAGAGGGGTAAGACTGCTTTAGCTTTAAAAAATCTGAAAAAATTTATGTATGTATGTAGCATACTGTAAAAAAACTTTTTTTTAATTTTTCCAGACCCTCGTCAACTCACGGGTTTGCTATAGGAACCAAATTGTAAATTTCGGTCTTTTAAAGATATCTTTGCTTTTTTTCAACCAATCCCAAAAATTCTGGTCAAAAGTTAAAGACAAAAATAATTTTTATTAACTGAAATTTTTTCAAAATTTTTGGTGCCAAATTAAAATTTTAGAAAACGGTCGAAATTTTTAAAATGTTGCACTTCTGAGAGTTTTATCAGTACAGACTAAAAAAATTTATGAATTGCATTATAGTATATTCTATTATTATAACTATTTTTAGATTTTTTGAGACTTGGCAACGTGGATAAGAAAAATAAGAACCGTTTTTCCACTCATTTTGTCGATATAGTGGCTTTAATATGCCTTAAATGAACCACAGAAAAAACTAACATTTTGTTTTTTGGCACCTTACTCTAATTATTTATACTCTAGAATACTTTATCAAGATGTGTACGTTTTGTATAGTTTCATAGAAAAGTAAAGAAAAAATTTGTACGTCTCATAAAGTTGAAGATAATGTGGAAAAATAATCACAAACCGAATTTGGTTAACTTATGATACTTTGGCATGTAGTCAAATGTAATCCAATTAAAGTTTTCTACTTTTTAGAATGCATTAAGTTTTAAACTCTCAAAAAATTTCTCAGTAGCTAATAAAAATATAAAAGAAATACTAAAAATTCAATTTATAATTTTTTCAATAAAGACAAACCTAAAATGTGTCTTANATCAGCGATGGCAGCTAAAACCATGTTGTACTGCTCAAATAATTCATTTTAAGCGAGTGATTTTTACTTGATGAATTTTTAAACGCATATACGTACCAATGAGCATTGAATTTGTCGATCCATCGAATATCGTATTGAATTAAACGAATTTTCGTTCCCGAAACACAAGGAGGCTTGTACTTCATTGAAAAGTTGTTTCATTCGACGTATCTGATCGAGTACAGTTGACGATAGATCGATTCAAACTTTTTCGACATTACCCCTCGATGTTAGGTTTTTTGTGAACACTCGTAAGACTCGGATGTACGGTTTCATCGGAAGGTAATAAATCTTAGACCCAATCAAAAAAGCCAAGTTGATTTTTCTCCCGAGAACTCGACCTTCCGTCCTGCCATTCGTCGATACGAGCAGCGTCATCCCAAGATTAATGTTTGAAACGATGAAAAAAAATGCCCGTAACAAAAAATAAAATCAACCTTTTATCCGTGCAAACAACTCCTCCATTTCCATTACCCGAGGCTGTCTGGAGGGAGCAATTATTTTTTCTCCCAAAACAGTCTCAAATGATAATGCGTACGCGGCGCGGAGGGGTGGTGGTGGTGGTGGTGGTAAAAAAAACACTTAACCTTGCTCCAAATACACAAAAGGAAAAAGGAATTCCCGGCGAGTACGTCTTCTTCTT